GCATTCGTCATTGTCGGTGAACCTGCTTCCTTGAAAGATCCCAAAACCTACGCACAAGCAATGCGACGCCTCGATTGAAACGAATGGCTCATGGCCGTTGAAGTTGAACTAAACAACATCAAGCGTCATGAAGTGTGGGTGGTTGCCCCGATGCGGACGGGTACCAGGCAACTAGACACTGTTTGGGTCTTTAAAAGGAAGTACAATGCCGACGGTGAACTCCAGAAATTCAAGGCTAGGATATGTGTGAGAGGTTTTCGCCAGATTGAGGGAGTCGACTATGGTGCCACCTTCGCTCCCACGGGACGCCTGGCAACCCTACGAGCTCTTCTCGGTATCGCTGCTGCCAAAGATTTCCAAGTGGAACAGATGGACGTACGGTGTGCCTTCCTTAATGGTATTCCGGATGAAGAAATTTTCATTAAAGTTCCGGATGGTGTCGACATAGAAGTACCGCCGGGGCATGGCCTCAAACTCCAAAAGTCTCTCTATGGGCTTAAACAAAGCCCGCGATGCTGGTATCAGGCCCTGAAGTCATTCTTCACATCGGTCAACTTCTCAGCGGCCGAGGCTGACGCTTGTCTCTTCGTTCATCAAGACTCCACTCGCCCCTGCTTCGTCTATGTCCATGTAGATGACCTCATCATTGTGGGACCTGATGTGACCTTCCTCAAAAAGGCCATCACCGAGCGTTTTGAGATGGAGGACCTTGGCCCATGTGAGTGGGTTCTGGGAATGAGGGTCGAGAGGAACCAAGCGCTTAAGACCATATCACTGTGTCAGGATCGCTACATTAACGAGATCCTCGAAGAATTCAATCTAACAACTTGCAAAAGCACGTCCACTCCCCTCCCTATCAACACTCTAACAATCCCTATTGATCCCGAGCCGCCCGCCGAGGGGTTCAATTATCGTCGCGCGGTTGGCTTAATCAACTACCTTGTGCAATGCACCAGACCTGACCTTGCTTTCGCATGTAGCTATCTCTCGCAGTTCTTAAACAAACCCTCTCGGACGCATGAAAATCAAGTCAAACATGTTTTCCGATACATCAGCAAGACAGTCAAACACAGGCTTGTACTTGGTGAGGAACCATCGACACCCGGACAAATCGTGGGCTTTGCCGACGCCAGCTATGAGAGCGCAGTCAACAGCTCCTCATTCTCTGGCAGCCTGGTCAAGTATTTTGGAGTCGTTGGATGGCGTTGTCAGAAACAAGACGACGATGCCGCTGCATTATCTACGACCGAAGCGGAATACAGGGCATGCTCTGAGACCGGCCAAGACATACGATGGCTGGAGCAACTACTGCTGAACATCAACCCTCACATAGGAATGGAGTCCAACTCAGCACTACTCCACTGCGACAACCAGGGTGCTATAGCTCTACTAAAAAACCCGCAATACCAGCATCGAACTCGCCATGTTAATGTTCGACATCACTGGCTACGCCATCACATAGAACGCGAAAAAAATTTTGTAGTTCAATACATTCGGACAGATGAAAACCAGGCAGACTTTCTCACCAAACCGCTAGCACCAATCAAGATACGGAAGGCTCTTCAAGACATCAAATTGTTAGATGCCTAGCAAGCACGGGGGGCTGTGACAGTCAAGCGACAGTCAGGAGAAAGTCGCGACTAGGTACTCAGTTAGGTTTCAGGAGAGGAGGAACACTGCGGAATCTTGTACATATCATCACTAGATTAGGTTAAAGCCTGTATTTAGATTCTCAAGTTCAGAACCTTGTTTTTCCTTCTTTTCCTTTTTCCTCACTTACATAGTCGCGATTGTTACATCACCTCAATAGGTGATTATCTTTTTCTCTTCGATTCAGCTTAGTCCTCGTCTTCCCAAGACTCTTTCCTTGTGCTCACTGCGGACCACTGGTGTTTCTCAGGTGATTATCTTTTTCTCTTCGATTCAGCTTAGTCCTCGTCTTCCCAAGACTCTTTCCTTGTGCTCACTGCGGACCACTGGTGTTTCTCAAAAAACATTAGTTTGTAGTAGTTATCAGTAGTCATTTCCACCATCTAAATTATTTTCTATTATTATCCCTTTTCACGTGATCACACTGTCAGCTTGCTACTATGGCAGAGACAACCTGTCATAGCAAAATAAAAATAAAATTACATAAAAAATCTAAGAATAAAGTAAAAATATTACATAAGTAAAAGAAACTAATTTACTTATGTTAACAATAATAAAAACACTTAAAATATATAAATAACTTAGAAAGAATAAAGAAAACCTTAATTATTATTACAAATTCTGAATCTACGTACAA